ATATTGTTCATCAAGAAAATCATCGAGTTTTGGATAAAAACACTTTCTGCCAATGCAGATAATATGAGCAGAACTGTTAGTCGCTGTGTATGCAGCACTGATCTCAGACGGCGCGTTGAGCCCGTTCTGCTGTCGCCTGAGTATTTTTTTTTTCGTTTTTTTTCTTATTACTTTTTCTTACATATGATTGATCAAGTATAACGTTAATATACAATAGAAGTGTTATAATAGAAGAATGTTAGTATACTATTTTATACGTACAGAACGATAAGATTTGTTTCGTAACATAGGGATAATCTATTTTTCATGTGTTCAACTAATTCAACTATCATTTTAAAAATCTCAAAGTTTTGCCGTTTTTTTCAATACAAGGAAAACTAGAAAGTTAAGTTAAAGTAGCAGAAAAGAATAGGATGAAAATTAAACTAATGTATATAAAGTATTAGAATCTTCATCACTGACATCTGAGTCGACATCAGAGATTTCTGAGTAATATTGGGCATCGATTATTGATGTATAATATAATGATGATCGTGGTTGTAATTCTTTTGGATTATATCTTCCAAATGAAAGATAGTACATAATAGATGCTATATGCGCACAGCAGCCTATTACTCTATTTCCATTTGGGCAAGTACAATACCAGCCAGTAATATTCTTTGAATCGTATTGAATGTAGACATCATATTTGACATTAACTTTGTGTATTGATTGAACTTGAGCTCTCAAAGGATTTTTTCTTTGATTAGCTATTTTAACTGAATAAGCTCCATCGGTAGACATATGCTCGGCAATGTAAGCGCGAGCTTGTTTTAATTGATAAACTCCAAGAGTTAGTTCTTGTAGTTCATTAAAATTCATTCGTGGAAAATTCGGTGTTGAATTTGTCACATTCATGGATATCCATTTTAACTTCTTTTCAGTATTACTTTTAATATTTTGAACAAATTCTTTGATTTTGTTGGTTTCATGCATTAATTTTAAGATTTTTCAACCAATCTCTTGATCTTTACTAATATCCTTTACAAATACTGGTCGATAGCGATTTATTATAGCGCAGACAATTCGAAAATAATTGCCAATTTTTTCAATCATAGTATTCGATACCACATGGTCAAAAAATCGCCATTGTTTTACTCTTCCGTTTGCTGATTCAATTACCCAACGAATTTTTGTTATTAATCGGGTTTCGTTTGCTTGGACAGTTGTGAATTGTTTCTCACCCTTTCGTAAAAAAGATGGCATTTTAGTAGTATATCCAAACTTTTCAAGATCTTCCAAAACATCACGGAAGCCCCTGTCCACAACAAGTACATCGTTTGCAGCCAACCAATCCACCATTCCTTGTTTGTTATTGTAGATTATATTTTTTGTTATTGCAGCATCATTATTTTTTCCATCTGCTAGATATGGCCCGATGGCAGAAATAATATAAACATCGGTTGAGACAACCATCATAGGTTTGACGAGCGGCTTACCTTTATGCAGACTGTAAGTTCTTCTTTGGAGCAAGTTATTAGCAGACTTTTGTATGTAGACGTATGTAGCATCAAGTATGATTATTGCTTTGTTAGGATCATTGTTGGCCAACAGCTGTTGAGCCAATGGACATGTGTGTTTTTTGAGAACCTACTCCCGTGTAATATGATCAAACCCAAGATATTTTGGTACGAAATGTTCTTTGAGTGCGGTGTTGGCACTCTCAAGTATTCTACTTACTTGACGTTTGCTTTCAAGTCCGAATAAAGTGCACAAAGTTTCATGACTGATACCTAGTCTCAATTTAACAAGAAGCATAGCAATAGCAGTACGTGATGTTCTTAGATCAGAAGTTCGCAGTTTCGATCGTGGTATATGAGAACAAAGATCATCAAACTGGTCGCGAGTAATTCCCATCAGTACTTGATAAGCTTTTTCCGGTAAACACACTTTTGTATCGTCGAAATTTAATGGTGGATTCTTAGCCAATTCATTAATTTTTAAATAGTTTTTTCTGAGTTCGTTTTTCATATCGTTGAATAGATCGATCAATTCTTCTCGATGAATCATACAATATCTTTTTTTATGTTGCTTAATATTCTCAATTGATTCCACTTTCAAGGAGTCATTAGATATGTGCTTTGAACAGCATCGAGTTTTGTGTTGGATATAAATATGGTGTTCCAATAATGTATATAAGCGTACTGAAGAATTAATTTCAATGGATCGATTTCGTTTTACATGGAAGGAAGCATCACAAACAGCACAATATTTGTTTGACTTTGTCAATCGATAAAATGGTATTTCAACAGACAAGCCAGGTTTTTGTTCATCGGTGATTGTATTTGTACTAGTACTTCTGTTTGATGTCTGTAAATCGGTTGGAGATACTCGTTCAGTAGAGGATGGAGAAAATTGATTGTCGCTCAATTCATCAGTTTGAATACCAATATCAACTTTTTTCGTGTCGACATCCATTGCCAACCCTTCTTGATCGTTCGAATTCTTATTCTTGGATCTTTTTTTCATATTGTACAATTTGGTGTAACATATATTGTGCATTGGAAATTGAATGATTTTATTATTAATAGCATATTCCAATAGGTCATAACTATTTGCAAGTAATCGAATTTTCTTATTTTTACGTAGGTACTTATCGCAAAAGCAACAAAAAACTTTTTTTGTTTGAGCCATCAGAAAATAATTTTCAAGACAAAAACTTTACAGTTATATACAATGATAGCCCCGCCAGGGCTGTTGGGTTTAGTTTAACAAAAACTGATCAAAAGACTAGAGAATTTCTAATCGAATAAATCAATTAACTGAAGCCCAGTTAAATGTTGTTAAAATCCTTCTTTTAATCTATTTATACTTCAGTTCAGTGTGAAACAGCACTTTCTAATGTATATAGTTATGTAATGATAGGCTTTTCACTGCTGTGAGGTAAAGCTTCTTATAGTTACTTATATGAAATACATGAAAATATCAACACATAGCTGCATTCAGATCCAATGATACTAGAATCCTGTTCAAAATTATTTCATTAAACAACTATCCTGAACTTATAATGATTTTCTTGATGAACAATA